TAGGGAGGAAGACCAGGTAGGGGAGGCATAGGTGAGCTTGGGAAGTATGAATGTTGAGTAAACACTGAGGAGCTCGGGTGCAGGAACTCCGAGGGACTTGAGTCGGCGGAGGAGGTGGAGACAGAAACTGGAGGATTTGACAACTTCACTGACGTGTGGTTTCCAATTTAGATTGTGGTCTTATGGTGTCGCCGAGGAGCTTAGTGGAATCTACAACCTGGAGTGTGTTGGGACCTAAGGTAGTGGAAGGAGGTGGGACAACGTCGGAGGAGAGGTTGATGTGCATAACCATGGTCTTGGTATGGTTGATGGTGACATGGTTGTTGGTAGCCCAGTTTTGGAGACTGTGTGTGTGTGTAAACCTTGGTAAGATATGATAGAGGTAGTCTGGGTTAGTGTGTGTGTTAAGAGATCATATCTGGAGTTGAAAGTGGGCAAGATGTTAACGCTTGGAGTCTGTGTAATAATAGTAATAATAATTAACTGTTTATTAACAAATACAGCAGCCATAAGTAAACACACAAGTGGTAAATAATATATAACATACTGTAATGTAGTGACATGGGGGAAAAGGTCACTTAACAAGGACTCTCAGCACAGTTACAGCACAACAGTGAGATTGTCAAGGAGTGAACACACAAGATATCTACCAGTTGTTGATGATTGTTACAGTGTGTACTGGTGCAGCGATCAGTACGTGATCTTATGGGCTGGAGGCGGCTGCAGTGTTGAACAGTAATATGCGGACGAGGGATCTCAGGTGGTAGCAGGTGACGGTGGTGATGATGGTGCAGCGATCAGTACGTGGTCTTTGGTGCTGGAAGCAGCTGCAGTGTTTAACAGTAATATGCTGACGAGGGATCTCAGGTGTAGCAGGTGACGGTGGTGATGATGGTGCAGCGACCAGTACGTGGTCTTATGGGCTGGAGGCGGCTGTAGCGTTGAAGAGTAATATGCGGACGAGGGATCTCAGGTGGTAGCAGGTGACGGTGGTGATGATGGTGCAGCGATCAGTACGTGGTCTTATGGGCTGGAGGCGGCTGTAGCGTTGAAGAGTAATATGCTGACGATGGATCTCAGGTGGTAACTTCCATGATAACTTCGTCCCTAACTAACAGATGAGGTCATAGTGATGATCAGAGAGTGTTGAGAAGGTCAGTGTAGTGTGGTGCAGGAGAGGGAGAGAATAGTCTTGCTCGGCCTCTTCTCCACTCTCCAGGAGTCCTCCTTGTGTAGCAGTTAAGTGAGAAGACCAGACAGGGGAAGCATAAGTGAGCTTAAGGAATATGAATGTAAGTGTGTGTGTGTGTGGGGGGTAAAAATTCCAATTGTGTTGGGAAGATACATTTGTTAATTTATCCTAGCACACACACACACACACACACACACACACACACACACACACACACACACACACACACACACACACACTCAGTCTTTCAGTAACTAAGGATGAAATAAAACAAATAAACTTAACTGAACAGTGTATTATTAGGCATCAAGTTGACAGTTACCAAACACAGTGTTTTGTTGTACTAGTGCTTAACTAGTTCAGTTACAACATTTGCTAGTAAAGTAGCTAGTTACGTTACCTTTGTACTAGTAACGTAGCTACTAGTGTCACATCTGTACTAGTACCATAACTGCTGTAGTAGAGTTACCTTAGTACTGGTAAGGTAAACTAGCAGTGTTATATGTGCACTGGTAATATACTAGTACATATATACCTGCCTTACAACTACTGCTAGTAGCATTAGTTGTAACTGACGAAATCATTACAAAACTACATGAATTGTAACACTGACATCCCACTGTAGAATGTGAACTAGCTTTTCTATATTTACTTGCTCTTGTATTTATCATGTAATAGAACCAAGGCATAACGCTAGTGCTATTACGGAAGCTAGTAAATTTATAAACACATTAGTAACACGGATATAGGGTTATTGGCCAGCTAGTGACAACCAACAGTGTTACAGAATTCTTTACTTACGTCACTAGCACCACTAGCTAGGCACGTTACTAGCCGTGAGAGCAGGAAACAGGTTCACTGGTTAACTCTGTTTGTAGATAGTATTTGGCACAGCGATATTGGGACACGGATATAACCAAATAAGACTGACACCCGGAACTACACCTCTTTTACGGAGGCATTATAACCCAGTATTTAGTTAGGTTAGGTTAAGTTAAGTGAGATTAGGTTAAGCCAGGTTAGGTTAGGTTAGGTTAATTTAGGTTGCCATATGAGGTTAAGTTAGAAAGACAGTGATAATGATGAACTTGTCGTGTGAACATTGCAAAAGATGAGTGGATGTGAGGTAATCATTCTCATGTTCCTAGAATGTGTAAGATGGGGGAGTTTGTGTGTGCGTGTGTGTAAATGTGTGTGTGTGTGTGTGTGTGTGTGTGTAAATGTGTGTGTGTGTGTGTAAATGTCTGTGTGTGTGTGTATGTGTGTGTGTGTGTGTGTATGTGTGTAAATGTGTGTGTGTGTGTGTGTGTGTGTGTGTGTGTATGTGTGTAAATGTCTATGTGTGTGTGTGTGTGTGTGTGTATGTGTGTAAATGTCTGTGTGTGTGTGTGTGTGTGTGTGTGTGTGTGTGTGTGTGTAAATGTCTGTGTGTGTGTGTGTGTATGTGTGTAAACGTCTGTGTGTATGTGTGTAAATATCTGTGTGTGTGTGTGTGTGTGTGTGTGTGTGTGTGTGTGTGTGTGTGTGTAAATGTCTGTGTGTATGTGCGTAAAGGTATGTGTGTGTGTGTGTGTGTATGTGTAAATGTCTGTGTGTGTGCGTGTGTGCATGTGTGTAAATGTGTGTGTGTGTGCGTGTGTGTGTGTGTAAATATCTGTGTGTGTGTGTGTGCGTTTGTATGTGTGTAAATATCTGTGTGCGTGTGTGAGTACAAATGTGTGTGTGTGAACTTTAAGGAAATATTTCAGTAATGAAAAACATCTATTTCTTTTTGAGGTGTAAAATGAGGTCGATACATTTCATTCTTGTCTTCTGATAGCAGCATGAAGTCAGCCTGCAGTACTGAGACGTCGAGTACTGTCTGAAAGAAATAATGAAAGAAGATCACAGATACACATGATCAAAACAGATGATTGAAGCTTTAAGTGCATTTATATTCATTAAAGAAAGAACAGTCTTCCTTCATTTCACGGACGAAACACCGGTGAAAAAAGCATTCACGTGCAGGTTATGTACATCAAAGATAAAAGAATGAATACCCTTCATTCTTTCCACACACAGAACACCATTGAAAGAAGGATAAAAGTGTAAGATATTTACATGAAAGAAGAGGACAGTTTTCATGACTGTAGACTGACTGGTGACTGTCTTCATCACTGTAGACTGACTGGTGACTGTCCTCATCACTGTAGACTGACTGGTGACTGTCTTCATCACTGTAGACTGACTGGTGACTGTTATAATCACTGTAGACTGATTGGTGACTGTCTTCATCACTGTAGACAGACTGGTGACTGTCTTCATCACTGTAGACTGACTGGTGACTGTCTTCATCACTGTAGACTGACTGGTGACTGTCTTCATCACTGTAGACTGACTGGTGACTGTCCTCATCACTGTAGACTGACTGGTGACTGTCTTCATCACTGTAGACTGACTGGTGACTGTCTTCATCACTGTAGACTGACTGGTGACTGTCTTCATCACTAGACTGACTGGTGACTGTCTTCATCACTGTGACTGACTAGTGACTGTCTTCATCACTGTAGACTGACTGGTGACTGTCTTCATCACTGTAGACTGACTGGTGACTGTCTTCATCATTGTAGACTGACTGGTGACTGTCTTCATCACTGTAGACTGACTGATGACTGTCTTCATCACACTGACTGACTGGTGACTGTTATCATCACTGTAGACTGACTGGTGACTGTCCTCATCACTGTAGACTGACTGGTGACTGTCTTCATCACTGTAGACTGACTGGTGACTGTCTTCATCACTGTAGACTGACTGGTGACTGTCTTCATCACTGTAGACTGACTGGTGACTGCTATCATCACTGTAGACTGACTGGTGACTGTCTTCATCACTGTAGACTGACTGGTGACTGTTATCATCAAAATAGACTGACTGGTAACTGTTATCATCAATGTACACTGACTGGTGAATGTCTCCATCACTGTAGACTGACTGGTGACTGTTATCATCAATGTAGACTGACTGGTAACTGTTATCATCAATGTAGACTGACTGGTAACTGTTATCATCAATGTACACTGACTGGTGACTGTCTTCATCACTGTAGACTGATTGGTGACTGTCTTCATCACTGTAGACTGACTGGTGACTGTTATCATCAATGTAGACTGACTGGTAACTGTTATCATCAATGTAGACTGACTGGTGACTGTTATCATCAATGTAGACTGACTGGTGATTGTTATCATCACTGTAGACTGACTGGTGACTGTCTTCATCACTGTAGACTGACTGGTGACTGTTATCATCAATGTAGACTGACTGGTGACTGTTATCATCACTGTAGACTGACTGGTAACTGTTATCATCAATGTACAGTAGACTGACTGGTGACTGTTATCATCATTGTAGACTGACTGGTGACTGTCTTCATCACTGTAGACTGACTGGTGACTGTTATCATCACTGTAGACTGACTGGTAACTGTTTCATCAATGTACAGTATACTGACTGGTGACTGTTATCATCATTTAGACTGACTGGCGACTGTTATCATCACTGTAGACTGACTGGTGACTGTTATCATCACTGTAGACTGACTGGTAACTGTTTCATCAATGTACAGTATACTGACTGGTGACTGTTATCATCATTTAGACTGACTGGTGACTGTTATCATCACTGTAGACTGACTGGTGACTGTTATCATCACTGTAGACCAGGGGTCACCAAACTACGGCCCGCGGGCCGGATCCCAAGTCCTTCCCCGGCTCGTGGTAGCTCCGCCTACGCTCTGACGTTACCAGAGCTTTCGTTCTGGCTTGCAAGTATTGAACAGAATGATTATGCTGCCCGCGCTCGTCATTCTTTCAGTTATCCGGCCCACTGTGAAAAAAGTTTGGTGACCCCTGCTGTAGACTAACTAGTGACTGTCATTATCTCTGTAGATTAACTGGGACAGTCTTGGGGTACTCCTATTGTTACCAGTTAGGTCCCAGTTACCAGTCATCGTTACCTCACAGTCTACAAACAGTTATTGGGAGGTAATCTGTCAAGTAAATTCTATCTTGTTAAAAAGTTTGTCCAGTTGATGATTTTGTCCGGTTTAATATTTTGCCCGGTTATAGATTCTGTCCTGTTAAAGATTATGTCCGGTTAAAGATTCTGTCTAGTTAAATATTTAGTTCTGTTAAAGATTATGCCTGGTTATAGATTTTGTCCAATTAATGATTTTGTCCGGTTAAAGATTCTGTTATGTCAATTAGTCCAGTTATTTTTATTTTGTCCACTTAGATATAATTTTATTTATTTATTTGTTATTACAATGCTTGAGTTGATCTGTCCGGTTGATTTTGTCCGTATAGAGACAACTTACAATTTGTCCGGTTGGTTTTGTCCGTATACAGTCACATTACAATTTGTCCGCATAGAGATTCACCACAATTTGTCTGATCGATTACGTCCGTATAGACACATTACAATTTGTCCGGTTGATTTTTGTCCGTATACACATTACAATTTGTCCGGTTGATTTTGTCCAACTACAATGATAATACAATTTTTAGTGTCTTCATTATTTACGATCATCTGTGTTGCTTGATCTCATCTACTGAAGGAGGTGGTGTAGGAGTCTCTGAAGGAGGAGGTACTGAAGGAGTTCTTGAGGGAGGTGATGAAGGAGTCCTTGAGGGAAGTGACGAAGGAGGTGGCGATAGAGTCCGTGAAGGAGGCGGCGAAGGAGGTAGCGAAGAAGAAGGAAGCGCTGAAGGAGGTGGCGAAGGAGGCACAGAGCGTGAAGCAGGAGGCCATAAGTGCTAGACTCGGTGCCACCCCAAGACTCTCTCCGCTGGCTGTGGACAGACAACAGACAAAAGAGGTTACTGTGTTGTTGCTCCTATTCTTGGCAGTTAACAAACATTTGGCTACTTTTTTGGCAGTTAACAGACATTTGGCTACTTTTCTTGGCAGTTAACAGACATTTGGCTACTATTCTTGACAGTTAACAGACATTTGGCTACTATTCTTGGCAGTTAACAGACATTTGGCTACTTTTTGGCAGTTAACAGACATTTGGCTACTATTCTTGGCAGTTAACAGACATTTGGCTACTTTTCTTGGCAGTTAACAGACATTTGGCTACTATTCTTGACAGTTAACAGACATTTGGCTCCTATTCTTGGCAGTTAACAGACATTTGGCTACTATTTTTGGCAGTTAACAGACATTTGGCTACTTTTCTTGGCAGTTAACAGACATTTGGCTACTATTCTTGACAGTTAACAGACATTTGGCTCCTATTCTTGGCAGTTAACAGACATTTGGCTACTATTCTTGGCAGTTAACAGACATTTGGCTACTATTCTTGACAGTTAACAGACATTTGGCTACTATTCTTGGCAGTTAACAGACATTTGGCTACTTTTTTGGCAGTTAACAGACATTTGGCTACTATTTTTGGCAGTTAACAGACATTTGGCTACTATTCTTGACAGTTAACAGACATTTGGCTACTATTCTTGGCAGTTAACAGACATTTGGCTACTTTTTTGGCAGTTAACAGACATTTGGCTACTATTCTTGGCAGTTAACAGACATTTGGCTACTATTCTTGGCAGTTAACAGACATTTGGCTACTTTTTTGGCAGTTAACAGACATTTGGCTACTATTTTTGGCAGTTAACAGACATTTGGCTACTATTCTTGACAGTTAACAGACATTTGGCTACTATTCTTGGCAGTTAACAGACATTTGGCTACTTTTTTGGCAGTTAACAGACATTTGGCTACTATTTTTGGCAGTTAACAGACATTTGGCTACTATTCTTGACAGTTAACAGACATTTGGCTACTATTCTTGGCAGTTAACAGACATTTGGCTACTTTTTTGGCAGTTAACAGACATTTGGCTACTATTTTTGGCAGTTAACAGACATTTGGCTACTATTCTTGACAGTTAACAGACATTTGACTACTTTTTTTGGCAGCCGGACATTTGGCTACTTCTATGGATTTTAAGACAGATGGCTACTTTTCATAAATATTAACAGCTTTAACAGACATTGGCTGTTTTTTCTGGATTTTAACAGACATTTGGCTACTATATCCGACTGTGAACAATAACAGACTAACAGACAAAACATTTTACATTAAGAGGCGTCCTTATAATTATACGAGTACATGTATTCACACAGACACAAACACACAAACACCTACCCTGGGAATATCACACAGACACAAACACACAAACACCTACCCTGGGAATATCGCACAGACACAAACACCTACCCTGGGAACATCACACAGACACAAACACACAAACACCTACCCTGGGAATATCGCACAGACACAAACACCTACCCTGGGAACATCACACAGACAGACACAAACACACAAACACCTACCCTGGGAACATCACACAGACACAAACACCTACCCACACGGACTTTTTACAAACACCTAAACACCACCTGGGAATATCACACAGACACAAACACACAAACACCTACCACTAGGAGACATCACACAGACACAAACACACAAACACCACCCTGGGAACTGCACAGGCACAAGCTTTTCTAGAGCATCACACAGACACCCAAGCACTATGACACCCTACCCACAGACATCACACAGACACAAACACTGAAACACCTACCACAGGGAACACAGGCTGAGCCTACCCTAGAGGAAACATCCACAGAAGGCACAAACACCTACCCTAAAACATCACACAGACACAAACACCTGAGAAACATCCACACAGACACAAACACCTACCCTAAGAAACATCACACAGACACAAACACCTACCCACTAGAAACATCACGCAGACACACAAACACACCTAAACACCTACCCTGGAAATATCACACAGACACAAACACCTACCCTGGGAATATCTCACAGACACAAACACACAAACACCTGCCCTGGGAACATCACACAGGCACAAACACCTAAACACCTACCCTGGGAACATCACACAGACACAAACACACAAACATCTACCCTGGGAATATCACAGACACAAACACACAAACACCTACCCTGGGAATATCACACAGACACAAACACCTACCCTGGGAACATCACACAGACACAAACACACAAACACCTGCCCTGGGAACATCACACAGGCACAAACACCTAAACACCTACCCTGGAAATATCACACAGACACAAACACACAAACACCTGCCCTGGGAACATCACACAGGCACAGACACCTAAACACCTACCCTGGGAATATCTCACAGACACAAACACACAAACACCTACCCTGGAAAGATCTCTCCCAGGCTCTGAAGTTGTCAAGTATGGTAGTGTGGTGGGCCAGCCGATTACCACTGATCTCCGCCACACATTTAACCCTCAGTACGCCTCGCTGGAAGTGGAACGGCCTCGCTACGAACGTAAGTCGGGAGATCTGCGTCAGTAGACCATCCTGAACCATGTAAGGGCGTTCTCTGGTGACTATGTCTTGTGGTGCCTGTGACAAAGACCAACAGAAAGTGCTTGAAACATTCCATCTCTTGAGAAAATAAATACGTGTCTTTTCCAGCATAAATTAGTGTAAATAGATGTCATTTCATCTGACAATTCGCCTCCCAGAGCGTAATTCACCTGAATATTAACCTCTCTAACGCTACGTGCGGGGTTAAATTAGGTTAGGTTGGGCTAGTTCAGATTACGTGAGACAGGTTAGGTTAGCGTTAGGGTTAGGCTTCAAATGATAAGGTTAGCGTTAGCTCAGGTTGGGTTAGGCTTCAGGTGTCTTAAGGTTAGCGTTAGCTCAGGTTGGGTTAGGCTTCAGGTGTCTTAAGGTTAGCGTTAGCTCAGGTTGGGTTAGGCTTCAGGTGTCTTAAGGTTAGCAGTGGCTCAGGTTGGGATTAGGCTTCAGGTGTAGGTTAGCGTTAGCTCAGGTTTAGGTAGGCTTCAGGTGTCTTAAGGTTAACGTTAGCTCAAGATTTGGGTTGAGCTTCAGGTGTCTTAGTTGCGCGTTAAAAGCTCAGGTTGATTGGAAAGCTTCTAAGGTCTTAAGGTTTATCACTGAAGTTAACTTATGTGTAGAAGTTGATGATTGAGTGAAATAAGTTGGCGACGTATAGATGGATAATGTATCGTTATTATTGGCGACATTTGGCGAAATTTATACTAATTTGGCGATGTTTAATGTATGTACTTTGATATAATGATGTAATAAGCAATGAGGTGATGTGTACTGATGTATAGGTGATGTGTTCTGATGTGTAGATGATGTGCAGACTCACCTGTCTGCCGTTTATCCTCCAGGAGAGATGTGTTGCAGGTCGGGATGGGCTGGAGGTACACAGGAGGTTGACTGTATCGTTAACGTGGTACCTGTTGCGTCCACCTGTGATGACCGGCCCGGAGGTTGGTGGCTCTGTTGGGGAGGGGCCTGTCTATTAGGCTGAGAGACAGACAGATAGACAGACAAAGGAAATAGATAGAGAGATAGACAGACAAAGAGACAAAGGAAATGGTTACAGACAGACAGATTGAAAGATAGACAGACAGACAGACAGATTGATAAACAGAAACGGGAGAGATATATATATGCACACAGACAGTAAAGAGACAGACAGAAAGTGAGACAGGCAGCCAGATTTGACAGAAAGACACATACACTCACCAATGACTAAGAGGTTGCCGCGGCCCGTCACTGTGTTAAACTTAGGTCCTTCAGCTGACACTTCACACCGGTACTGACCAGACGTGTTGAAGCCCACAGCCCGCAGTACCACCCGACCAGGCTGTGACGCTGCCTCCTGTGACGGTACAGTGTTAGGGTACAGCTGACTACAGTGAGGGAGGGGTACAGTAAGGAGGGAGGGTGTTACAGTACGGGGTAGAGCGAATCATGGTGTATATGTTGCGAAGGGTACAGTAGGGGGAGGAATGAAAGGTAGTAAAAGGAAGTGTTGGGGCAATGAAATAAAAGTGTGTGTTATATAGGGGAAAAGTTACAGAGGCAGTGGTTACAGTAGGGTTATAGCAAGTTACAGTAGAGGGTACAGTAAGTTACAGTAGGGTTATAGAAAGTTACAGTAGAGGGTACAGTAAGTTACAGTAAGGGTACAGTCAGACAATATTCATAGTTTTATATCAGTATTTACAGCGACCAATCACAACAAACCTTATTTAAATGTCTACCATTCAAATTATTTACTGCTTTTTTACGTCAACCAATCATATTAATCCTACTTTTCATACCAACCAATCACATTATTCCTACTTTTCACATCCACCAATTACAACCAACATAGATCTACTAAGGAATTATTCGGTTCCAATATTAACACTCCATTAACACATTAGTCTCTATTCCCTCATTTATCATTCACTCTGTTGGTAATAATCAACAAGTATAACAGTAGCAATAACAATAGCACTAATAATAATGATAATAACAATAGCAGTAATAATAATAATAATAATAATAATAATAATAATAATAATAATAATAATAATAATAATAATAATAATAATAATAATAATAATAATAATAATAATATCCTCTTCGCGTAACCATCTTTCGGAAGATGTTGTGCCTTACCTAATAATTAATCCCTAAAATATTAAACACATTCTTCTATATTATAAATCAGACCAAATATATTTTATATTCATTTTTATTTAATTTTTACAAAGTATTTATCCTTTTATAGATGAAGAGAGA